AAAGGGGCAAGGCTGGCGTCGACAGGAAGGAAAGGGGCAAGGCTGGCGTCTGACAGGAAGGAAAGGGGTGGCTAGCGCGAACATGAAAGAAAGGCAAGGCTGGCGTCTGACATGAAGGAAAGGGCAAGGCTGGCGTCTGACAGGAAGGAAAGGGGCAAGGCTGGCGTCTGACATGAGGAAAGGGGCAAGGCTGGCGTCTGACATGAAGGAAAGGGACAAGGCTGGCGTCTGACGCGGAAGGAAAGGGACAAGGCTGGCGTCTGACATGAAGGAAAAAGGGGCAAGGCTGGGTCTGACATGAAGAAAGGGCAAGGCTGGCGTCTGACATGAAGGAAAGGGACACAAGGCTGGCGTCTGACATGAAGGAAAGGGCAAGGCTGGCGTCTGACATGAAGGGGAAAGGGGACAAGGCTGGCGTCTGGCGCATGAAGGAAGGGGCAAAGGCTGGCGTCTGACTATGAAGGAAAGGGGCAAGGCTGGCGTCTGACATGAAGGAAAGGGGCAAGGCTGGCGTCTGACATGAAAAAAGAAAGGGCAAGGCTGGCGTCTGACATGAAGGAAAGGGGCAAGAGCTGGCGCATGGCTGAAAGGGGCAAGGCTGGCGTCTGACATGAAGGAAAGGGGCAAGGCTGGCGTCTGACATGAAGGAAAGGGGCAAGGCTGGCGTCTGACATGAAGGAAAGGGGACACGAGAAGGAGTTAATGACAATGTGGCTAGGTGTAAGCATAGGAGAAAGAACAGGGAGGATAGAGGAACAACAAGGGCAAGAGCAGCCAACTAACAAGACAGGTCAAGACAGATGGTCAGGTAATGAGGGGCCACGTAAATCAAATACTGATCAGTGATAGTTTGTAAGTGTAAAAAAATTAATTAGAAGTAAAAGAATGAACAGCGTTTTACAAGGGATCATATGTGGGAAGTAGATAAATTACAGAATAGACAGACAGTTACAGGATAGACAGACAGTTACAGAATAGACAGACAGATACAGAATAAACAGACAGACAGACAGATACAGATAGATTAAATGAATATATGTGAATGAAACACATAATTAATAGCTGCCATACTTAACATAAAGACTAATAGACGGTAAAAAAATAGAAATAGCTTCTAACAGGTAAGAGATTCGCTATTAATTAAAGGTAACATACGTGTAAAACCAGAAGTATTAAAAAGTTGTAATTAATAACCAACAACTTTAGTGAAGAGATGATAATAAACTTAAATGATTAATGACCGGACAGACAGACAGACAGACAGACAGAGACACACACCAGGAAGTTTAGGTCAGGTAAGGAATGTTTCCCGGAAGTTCAATTAACCAAAACACACCTTAACTTTGGATTCTTAATTAAGGTATATAACTGGGTTTGGTCAGTAAGTGAACCCACCCCCTCCCCCCTCCCTCCTCTAACTTAATCACCAAATTACCTCATTAACCTGGTTAGTTTCCGGGGATAATTAAGTTTGTGTGCCTTCTTTAGTGAGTTAGTTTAAGGAGATGTGTTGGTGAATATGCCTGTCAAAATGTATGTCACGGAGGGGGGGGGGGGTAATGACAGGGGTCGAACCATTGGTCATAATGGTGTGTTGTGGTGTAGTATTTGCCCCTCCACCACGGCCTCTATGATCATTAACACCTGAACCTCGTTACACCTGGCTAGTGTCCAAGGGTCGAACCAATGTCCCTGGGAAGGCGGTGATGACGCCCTGCCAACTCCTCCATTACATTTCCTTATGAGTAAGACCTGACCATCAACAAGACTCGAACCAGGGTACAGGAGGGAGTTGAAAATGAAGTACTATTTTGTTTTGCTACTCCACCACGGCCTCCTCAACTACAGTGGCTTGAACCAGCGCCCATGATGGCTTAAATACACCTGACCCCTTGAGCAACACCTAATCTAATTAAACACTGGAATCGAACCAACGTATTGAGAACCATCCTAAACACTTCTCCTGAAACTAGATACTCAAACGGAGGTGAACAAAGCATAATTCAAATAAAGAAATATTCAACACCTAAACCCAGAACAACATCCAAACAACATTCAACCCCAAAACAACATTCAACCCCAAACAAAATTCACCCCCAAAACCACATTCAACCCCAAACACACATTCAATTTCAAAACAACATTCACCCCCAAAAACAACATTCACCCCCAAAACAAAATTCACCCCAAAACCACATTCAACCCAAAACCACATTCAACCCCCAAAACAACATTCAACTTCAAACAACATTCACCCCAAAACAACATTCAACCCCAAAAACAACATTCACCTCCCAAAACAACATTCACCCCCAAAACAACATTCACCCCAAAAACCATATTCACCCCAAAACCACATTCACCCCAAAAACAACAATCAACCCCAAACAACATTCAGCCCAAAAACCACATTCACCCCAAAAACAACATTCACCCTCAAAAACAACAATCAACCCCAAACAACATTCACCCCAAAAACCACATTCACCCCAAAAAACCACATTCAACCCAAAACATGGCAGCCGAACTAAGGTCCAGGAAGATATGGTATCCAGGCCACTAACCTCGCCCCTTGTTGTCACTCTCGCTAGCCAATTCCATCATGGTTTCATTACAGCCAGACAGGACGATGGATGGTTTCTGTCGCTGAATTCTCCTCCCCTTCCTACCCCCCTCCCTCATCCCCCTCCTTCCCCCCCCCCGGTTTTTTCTTGCTCACAAACGGGCAATAGGGAGGGGAAGAGTTGGGGGTGCGTTAGGGTGTGTTTGTGAGTTACGGTATGTTTGTGAGTTGGGGTGTGTTTGGGGTGTGTTTGTGAGTTGGGGTGTGTTTGCGGTGTGTTTGTGAGTTGGGGTGTGTTTGCGGTGTGTTTGTGAGTTGGGTGTGTTTGTGAGTTACGGTGTGTTTGTGAGTTGGGGTGAGTTTGGTGGTGTGTTTGTGAGTTGGGTGTGTTTGTGAGTTACGGTGTGTTTGTGAGCTGGGGGTGAGTTTGTGAGTTGGGGTGTGTTTGCGGTGTGTTTGTGAGTTGGGGTGTGTTTGTGAGTTGGGGTGTGTTTGCGGTGTGTTTGTGAGTTGGGGTGTGTTTGCGGTGTGTTTGTGAGTTGGGGTGTGTTTGTGAGTTGGGGTGTGTTTGCGGTGTGTTTGTGAGTCGAGGTGTGTTTGTGACCACCTCTCATCCTAATTCAATCAAACCTTAACCTTACCTAACCAAACTATATCCTAACCCAACTTAACCAAACTTTACCTCACTTATCCAATCCTAACTTAACCTAACCTCGGCATAACCTAACCTATCCTAACTTAACCTAACCTCGGCATAACCTAACCTAACCTCGGCATAACCTAACCTAACCTATCCTAACTTAACCTAACCTCGGCATAACCTAACCTAACCTCGGCATAACCTAACCTATCCTAACTTAACCTAACCTAACCTATCCTAACTTAACCTCACCAATTTAACTAAAATAAATCCTAATTATTCGACAATGACTCAAAAGGCTTCTACGTCAATCACCGTCATTTAGCATAATTTAATTCAACACTACAAAAGCTAGACATATATCATAGGTCACAAACATCAAACACAAAGCTAAAATCATCAATGAGTTTCGAGGCTAACAGCTAAAACATCAATGGACATCAAAGCTAAAAAAAAAGCAAATGGACATCAATGCCATAAAATAAACACCAATGAACATCAGAGGCAACAGTAGGGTCATTAACATCAAGAGCAGACATCAACAGGACACATCAGTAGGGCACATCAATAGGACACATCAATAGGACACATCAAAAGGAAATATCAATAGGACAAATCAAAAGGACATATCAAAAAGACACATCAATAGGCAACATCAATGAGAGACATGAAAAGGAGACACCAATAAGGGTACATCAATGGGAGACATCAATGGGACACACATCACCGCCGCTCTCATTACACGACAGCGATTCAACAATTTTCTCTATTTGAAACATAAACATGAAATAGTTTACCCGAGTCAAGCGAACAACAACTGACAGATAACTGGGCTAATTTGTTTCATTTCATTACTAAAATTTTGGCCAATGTGTCATATAAAAGGCTGTGTCATATCGAGAACCAGTGTCATATAGGAAGCTGTGTCATGTCTAGAATCTGTGTCATATCGAGAACCTGTGTCATATAGGAAGCTGTGTCATATAAAAACGCTGTGTCATATCGAGAACCTGTGTCATATAGGGAGCTGTGTCATATAAAAACGCTGTGTCATATCGAAAACCTGTGTCATATAGGAAGCTGTGTCATATAAAAACGCTGTGTCATATCGAGAACCTGTGTCATATAGGGAGCTGTGTCATATAAAAACGCTGTGTCATATCGAAAACCTGTGTCATATAGGAAGCTGTGTCATATAAAAACGCTGTGTCATATCGAGAACCTGTGTCATATAGGAAGCTGTGTCATATAAAAACGCTGTGTCATATCGAGAACCTGTGTCATATAGGAAGCTGTGTCATGTCTAGAATCTGTGTCATGTCGAGAACCTCAGTGTCATATACGAAGCTGTGTCATGTCTACAGTCTATAATATTTGTAAATGAGTAAATGACCCCTACAATTTACACCTCAGGGGGGAGGGGACTGTTTACATAGGGAGGAGTGTGTGTGTTTACAATGGGCACAAGAACGAGTGTGTGTGTGTGTGTGTGTGTGTGTTTACGGTGTACGATAGAGAGAGCTGTTTACGTCATCAATAAAGAGAGGAACGTTTGTTTACGTCATCAATAGAGAGGAACGTTTGTTTGCATCATCAATAATGAGTTTTCTTTACATCAATAACGAGAGGAACGTTTGCTTACATCATCAATTCATCAATAAAAGAGCGTAACGTTTGTTTATACCATCAATAGAAAGGAATGATGTGTACATTATCAGTAACGAGGGGAGAACAGAGGAAAGGTTACCATCACCACTGATCTTCCCTCACAGAGCATCAGGTCTCCCACACACTTACCTTTCTCACAGACGTATCCGGCGATGGTGATGCCGAGTCCCTGATGGTCTTTGGTCACCTCCAGTTCTATCGTCTCCATCTCCGGTAGAGCTCCACCACCGATCAGTACCAGCTCCTCCTCCGTGTAGGTGTGGGCGGCGGGGTCGTTCTCCAGGAGCGGCCTCTGCTGCTGGGCCTCCGTCACCAGCCCACCGCCCACGGGAGGCGACAGGGACGAGGCTGATGAACCCCCTTCACCTTCCACCTGTGTGAAGAGAAGAGGAAAACACCTTTAACCACAGGAAGTGAACACATTAACCATAATTAACCACAGGAAGTGAACACATTAACCATAATTAACCACAGGAAGTGAACACATTAACCATCATCAACCACAAGAATAAAAATTAAACACAACAACAAATCCTAACATCACCAAATAAACACAAAAGTTAACATCATATAAAAATGTTAATATAATGTTAACCAGGAAGGCGACAAAGTTGATCCATGGTGTGTGTTGAGAGGTAATAAATGTCACCCACCACGGTAAAAAAACGGTGTAATTAGCCAAAGGTTCAGTAATTAGCATATTACACTGTCAAAACTCTACCACACGAGAGAGAGAGAACAGAGAGGTAAAGCTCATTAATTACCATCCTCTATAAATACTTCTGAGATCTTCACTACTCAGCCACGGCCGCCATCAAAGGCATCATTTTCATTAAGGTTTTATAGTCAGGTGCCGCCCAAGACCCCTCAGGTGTGAGTCTTAATTAAGAAGGTCTTCAGCCACTTCCAGCTGCCTCCTCTTCCTCCTTAATCTTACCTCACTTTTGTACAGGTGAGAGACACAGGTATGGCACAGGTAAGAGACAGGTATACAGGTAAAACACAGGTAAGTGATAGGTACACAGGTAAGACACAGGTACAAAACGACTTAAATCCTCAACACCACCCAAAAACCAACACAATAATTTTCCGCACCACAGTTGAACAAAACAGAATGGGCTTAGTTACAGCAGAATCTCAAGTGCATGTCTATGTTATTTAGCCCACACTATCTTGTTATCACAGCTAGGATAATTCACTTAACACATTCTCATATCACCAACTGCGACAAATTTTTACCCTAAGAATATCTAGGAATTAGGATAAAACGTTCGTATATAAGAGACAAAATATATCAGGATCGAAAGTCACCTCACCTTCCCCACACGTTATATCACCCCTCTACCATCAGCCTCCCTAAGGTGGTTAAGTAATTCAGGGTGTTATTGGTCTTGGCATCAGTTCTAACTATATAAAGTGACATAAACACAGTAGTATATATCACACACACACACACACACACACACACACACACACACACACTCTTTCACCCTTTCTCTAGCTCTCATTCAAACACAAACAAACACATCCACACAAACACAGACATACACAAGTACATCCGCCTGTGGTCTAGGGGGGACAGACGCGGCCTTTCAATTCAACCTGTGCTTTGTTGACTCCGTCTACCTGGAGGGTCATACCACACTACCTGCCTTATGCCCAGGTGACGGGGAGAGGGGGGAGGGGGTTAAGGGATGAGGAGGAAAGGGGTTGGGTGAGGAGGGTAGGGGGTGAGAGAGGAGAAAGGGGGGGAGGGGAGGGAGGAGAAGGGGGTGAGGAGGAGGAGGTGGAGGGGTGATGGAGGGAAGAGGGGGGCAATGTAGGGAGGAGGGTGGAGGCAGGATGGAGGAGGAGGGAGGAAGAGGAGGGAGAGGAGGTGAGGGGTGAGGCAGGATGGAGGAGTGGGAGGGAGGAAGGAGAGCAGGAGGTGAGGGGTGAGGCAGGATGGGAGGAGGAGGAAGAGGAAAAGGAGGAGGAGGAAAGGGAGGGGTAAGGCAGGGGATGGGAGGAGAGTGAGGAGCAAGAGGAGGAGGAGGAGGTGAGGGGTGAGGCAGGGATGGAGGAGTGAGGAGGAAGCAGGAGGGGGAGGAGGAGGAGGAGGTGAGGGGTAAGGCAGGATGGAGGAGTGAGGGAGGAAGAGGAGGAGGAGGAGGTGAGGGGTGAGGCAGGATGGAGGGGGGAAGAAGAGGAAGAAGGGGCATGTACGCTCTTCCTTCCATCTTCCAAGCTCTTGTGCCCGACAACATGACAAGGACACTTTAGGACATTAAAAATCAAACAAACAAAAATACTACAAACACAAAATAGGACAAACAAACACACACAAGGATACACACACGCACATACAACACACAGAGACATAACACATAAAAATTAACACACACACACACACACACACACACACACACACACACACACACACACACACACGTCCCCAGCACCTGTATCTCACACAGTCATCAGAGGCAGGTAGCTCCCACACTCCAACAATGGCCACACGGTATGAATTACCCAGCTGGCAAACGGTGATACAGGTGAAGCATTAGTGTGTCGAGGTCGATAGGAGGCAGGTCGAATAAGGGAGTGAGTGGGATGTCGAGGAGGGGTGGAGGGGTAGAGTAGGGGTGGAGGGGGTAGAGTAGGGGTGGAGGGGGAGGAGAGGGGTGAGGGGGGTAGAGTAGGGGTGAGGGGGAGTAGGGGGTGGAGGGGTAGAGAAGGGTGGAGGGGTAGAGTAGGGGTGGAGGGGGTAGAGGGGGTGAGGGGTAGAGTAGGGGTGGAGGTGGGGTAGAGTAGGGGTGGAGGTAGAGTAGGGTGGGGTAGAGTAGGGGTGGAGGGGTAGAGTAGGGGTGAGGGGTAGAGTAGGGGTGGAGGGGTAGGAGTAGGGGTGGAGGCTGATCAAAGTCGAGTAAGTGGAGGAGGTGGATATCAAATACGGTGGAGGGGATTGAAAGTGGTCACAAATATGGGTGGAATACGGTGCCAAAGGTCGAGTGTGGAGGTGGAGGCGACTGGGGGAGGTGGTGGAGGTCGACTGAGGGAGGTGGTGGAGGTCGACTGAGGGAGGTGGTGGAGGTCGACTGAGAGAGGGTGGTCGAGTGAGGTAGATGGTGGAGGTGGAGGTGGGAGGTGGTGGAGGTCGACTGAGGGAGGTGGTGGAGGTCGAGGGAGGTGGTGGAGGTCGACTGAGGAGGTGGTGGAGGTCGACTGAGGGAGGTGGGAGGTCGAGTGAGGGAAATGGGAGGTCGACTGAGGGAGGTGGTGGAGGTCGAGGAGGGAAATGGTGGAGGTCGACTGAGGGGAGGTGGTGGAGGTCGACTGAGAGAGGTGGTCGAGTGAGGTAGATGGTGGAGGTGGAGTGTGAGGTGGTGGAGGTCGACTGAGGGAGGTGGTGGATGTCGAGTGAGGGAAATGGTGGAGGTCGACTGAGGGAGGTGGTGGAGGTCGACTGAGAGAGGTGGTCGAGGAGAGAGATGGTGGAGGTGGAGTGTGGGAGGTGGTGGAGGTCGACTGAGGAGGTGGTGGAGGTCGAGTGTGGAGGTGGTGGAGGTCGACTGAGGGAGGTGGTGGAGGTCGAGGTGGAGGTGGTGGAGGTCGACTGAGGGGGAGGTGGTGGAGGTCGACTGAGGAGGTGGAGGTCGACTGAGGGAGGTGGAGGCCGACTGAGGAATGGTGGAGGTCGACTGAGGGAGGTGGTCGGAGGAGGGAGGTGGTCGAGTGAGGTAAATGGTGGAGGTCGACTGAGGTAGATGGTGGAGGTCGACTGAGGAGGTGGTGGAGGTCGACTGAGAGGTGGTGGAGGTCGACTGAGGGATGGTGGAGGTCGACTGAGGGAGGTGGTCGAGTGAGGTAGATGGTGGAGGTGGAGAGGAGGAGGCAGGCCCAATGAGGGCGGAGGGAAGACAGGAGAGACATACAGTAGGTGTTTACTGGTAACATATAAACGAGAGACACTTTCATAACATCTCACCAAGTCTATATGTGCTGGGGAGCGAGGTCTGTATGGGTGGGTCGAGGGGGGGGGGTCGTGAGGGGGGGTGGGCCGAGGGGGTGGGCCGTGAGGGGAGGGCCGAAGGAGGGGTCGGAGGGCAGGGCTCGAGGGGTAGAGGGTCGTGGGGTTGTAAGGTGGTGACAGGAGGAGGTCGTGGGTGATGAGGGAAAGGGTGGTAAGCGAGGGGTCGCAGGTTATGGAGGAGGAAAGAGGTCATAAGGTCATGAACTGAGGGGAGGGGTTCGTGAGGAGGGGCGGAGGAGGGGGTCGTGAGGGGAGGGGTCGGGACTAGGAAGAGGAGGGTCATTGAAAGTATATAGAGGCGTGAGGGAAAGAGCTGAGGTGAGAAGATGGAGAGGGAAGGTACAGGGAGGTGAGGGGGGGAGGGGGAGATGCGAGGAGGGGAGGGGAGGGAGTGAGAGGGATGGAACGCGAGGGGGAAAGGAAAATAAACAAGACAGCACACTAGCTGAGATACATAGAGACCTGAGAATAAAACCCATCAACCAGCAGCTGCACACCCTGGCCAACAGAATCTGGCAAAAGATAGAACGATCAAAGCAAGAACTCCTTCAAAGACTCCCACCAGATAACGACAACAACCATACATGGTTCCCATAAAGTTACCAGATCTCAAAAGGTCCATTACCACCCCGATCTACACGGCCAGGCAATAGACAACCTCCTAGACCAGCATCCGCCAGTAGGGTTCGGCGGAATATGAAATAAGGCCCTTAAAAACACCCATGTATGGGACAGGTTAGGCTGTCTAGTGCCTGTACCGACAGACAATTACTAACCCGACACAACCCTAACACACTATTAACTTAGCTAGGCGGTCAGCCTGCCCCTCTTACCTCCTCCTAAATTTCTTCAATTTCCGAACTAAAACTTCCTTCCCACCTCTAATCTTCCTTCACCCTCCTTTCTCTTAAAAAAACACTAGAAGAGAAGGCTTAAGAACAGAGGGGGAGGGGTGGGGAAGAGGGAGGTGAAGGGGGAGGGGATGGGGGAAGGGGATGAGGGATGGAAGGAAGGGGGAGGGGGGAAGGGGATGGGAGGATGGAAGGAAGGGGAGGGAAGGGATGGGACGGATGGAAGGAAGGGGGGAGGGGGGAAGGAGAGATGGGGAGGGGCCACGTAAAGAACTCAATTGTCAGGTAAACACACAGGTACAATAGTCCTTCCTCCCTCACCACCACCTCCCCTGTGTGTGTGTGTGACTGCTGCCAACCACACCTTCTACCACACCTACCACACCACCATCACCAACCACGCCTCTACCACCCCATTACCATCACCAACTACACCTTTACCACACCACCAACCACACCACCACCAACCACACCAGCATCACCAACCACACCTTTTACAACACCACCATCACCTACCACACCTTTTACCACACCACCATCACCAACCACGCCTTCTACCACACCACCATCACCAACCACGCCTACCACACCACCATCACCAACCACACCTTCTACCACACCAGCATCACCAACCAGAACTACCACACCACCATCACCAACCACGCCTTCTACCACACCACTACCATCACTAACCGCACTTTTACCACACCACCAACCACGCCTTCTACCACACCGCCATCACCAACCACACCACCATCACCAACCACAACCTTACCACACCATCACCACCACACCTCCCTCACACGTTACCATACCTCACCATCACACCTCCCACACAAATCACTATACTTCATCACACCTTCACCTCACCATCACACCTCCCTCACGTCACACACCTCACCATCACATCAAATATACAACCTCCTCTTAAGCACCACTTCTTACCTCCACTTTGCCACCCATACTTAAGGACCATTCCCACCCCCCCATGCATTATTTATCCCCTCGTTTCCCCTCTACCTTCTTCATTATTCATCACCCGTCCGTCCGTCTGTCTGTTTATTAATGGTTCCCCCGGGTAAGTCAATCAGTACTGGGAGGATCGTAATCAAACTCCACACATTAAGTTCTTCAATCTTAATGAATTTGGTGCTGTGGAGTAGCCAAGGAGGAGAATGTACACACACACACACACACACACACACACACACACACACACCTACAGGTATTAGGCAGCTACCAAACAGGGAGGTACTACCGCCTGGGAAGATATTGGAAGCTTAATGTGTAGTCTAATGGTAGACCCCGCTGCCATATGGCATCACAAAATTGTTGACCAAGTCCCAGGTTCCTGATCTGACTTTCTGCCTCATTTACACACAATTGCGGGGTCTCAATTGTTTCTCTTACTTTGACTACACAACATACATACTGTCGTTTCTCACGCTTGATTTATTTTTTTAATTTTTGTATTTATTTATTAATTATTATTATAATTTTTATTAATTATTATTATTATTATTATTATTATTATTATTATTATTATTATTATTATAACGTTTATTTATTTTATTCATTATTATTATTAATTATTATTATTATTATTATTATCATCATCATCATTACATTTTCGCATCACAGGCCCTGATGTGGGTCAGTGACCTGTGCCCGGGTGGGCTAATCCCGTAAAAAAATAATAAATAAATAAAATAAATAAATAAAAAATAAAATACATATTGTACATACACGACAAAAAATCAATCAATGGTAGAACATAAATAATAATGATGATGATGATAATAACAACAACAAGCTGCCTACAACAGCAGAAACTCATTATAACTTCAACAAATTAACGTCAGATGGCAGCAGCGGCAAGAGTAAATAAACAGTATACTCAGGAAGGTAAGACATGTTGAGAGCGACACCACGAACGGCCCACTTCACTTCACCCACTAAATGGCCATTCTGTGCGGTGGTAAATGGCCATTCAGTGTGGCGGTACATGGCCAATATATCAGAAGTAAATGACTCCTAACAATGGCCACCACATCATAATAGTGTGCCAGTATGACGCTCATGGGACTTTAACCACATTTAACTTAACATGGCTTTCATAATGGTGATTTTCTAATGGGTTTTAATGGTAATGGGAGGTTGTTAATGGGTGATTGATATAAGGGGTTCTAGTTTTAATGGGTAAATGGTAAAGGGGTTCTAAATAGGTTCTAGTTTTAATGGGTGATTGGGTAAGGAGTTCTAGTTTTTTATGGATAAATGGGTAAGGGGCTCTAAGGGGTTCTAAGTTTAATGGGTAAATGGTTAAGGGGTTCTAGTTTTAATGGGTAAATGGTTAAGGGGTTCTAGTTTTAATGGGTAAATGGTTAAGGGGTTCTAGTTTTAATGGGTAAATGGTTAAGGGGTTCTGGATTTAATGGTCAGGGACTTTCGGGACTTACCTGGACTTGCTGGTAGTGAAGATGTGCAGCTGTGGTCACCTCTCCCACACCTTTCTCCTGCAACACAAGTCAACTCTCAGATAAACCAGTAATGGACGTGAAAATAAACACAAAACATCGATAAACGTCCTAAAAAGACCTAAAAAGACCTAAAAATGTCCTAAAACACACGATTCAACATTCCTAAACACAGAGGATTAGTAAACATCGCTAAATAAAGGATTTTTCTTTATTCCTAAAATATATTAGGTCTAAACAGTGATAAAACGTCCCTAACATTAATACTAAACATTGTTAAATATTTTGGGGGGTGTTGGTAAACTAAACATTCATCCCTGGACATTTTAAAAGTATTATTCATTATCATTAAACACAGGATTAATAAACATTCCCTAAACATATCTTATAGAGCCTTAAATACACAACATCAATTAACATTCATAAACACAAACAATAAACATTACTAAACATACAGATTTATTCATCATCAATAAACACAATAAATAGTTAACGTCAATAATGCAGATAATTTATTCAATATTCATAAACACAGATCATCAGATTAACATTCCAATTATAACTAAAAAATTTACTTAACATAATAAATACGTTTATTTTCTATTAATAACATCATTATATATTATTATTATTATTATTATATTTATTATTATTATCAACACGCCAGACAATTTCAGTGAAAAAAAAAAACATTAACCCGAAATTTAACATTGATAACAAAACTAACATTGTCTTAACTAAAGGCTGTGACCTCAAACTAACCTAAATAGATTAACATAAATTACCTTTAACATTATCACTCCTACATATTAACTTAAGGTAAACAATTTAAAAAAAAAATTACCAAAATTTTAAAATTCCCTAAAAATTAAGAAACTAATGGTACAAAAATTAAATAATGGGTTTAGCTGCTGGTCGCTGGATAATGGTGCCCACTTTATTGCTTCTGGAAGATTTAATGGGGGTCAAATCGGCGTCTTACAGTAGATAATGGGAGCTGCTGTTGGTCTTACGAGATTTAATGGGTCACAAATGGTAGGCTATAGTAGATCAGGGTTCACAGAGGTGTTTCCTAAGTAGATAATGGGTCAAAGTTGGTGTTCCTTAAGTAGATAATGGATGGCACTGGTGTTCCTTAAGTAGATAATGGGTGGCACTGGTGTTCCTTAAATAGTGGGTCACAATGGTGTTCCTTAAGTAGACAATGGGTCACAATGGTGTTCCTTGAGTAGATAATGGGCTTCAATGGCGTTCCTTAGGTATCGTAGAGAATGGTCTTCAATGGGGCCTCAATGGGGGGGTCCTAGACAGATAATGCTCACCCCTTGATGGTCCTAAAATAAGCAGTGGGTCAGATTAATGGGTACTGAATAATTAAGGGGGCTGAATTTAAATGGGTAAAATGACTAATGGGTAATAGTAACCGAGTTCTTGAATCACGAGTATTAATGGGTTTTAATGGGGGTATAAAGCGTGAAATGGGTAGTTAATGGGGGTATGGTTTTTTCTAATGGTTGACGATAAGGATGGTAATTGTGGTTGTAGTTGTGGTTAATGGGTACGTAGTGGTTGAAGTGGTAGTGTGGTTAAGGTGGGAGTGTGGTTGAAGTGGTAGTGTGGTTGAGGTGGTAGTGTGGTTGAGGTGGTAGTGTGGTTGGGTGGTTGAAATGGTAGTGTGGTTAGTGTGGGAGTGTGGTTGATTGTGGTTGATTGTGGTTGAGTGTGGTAGAGTAGCTGATCCTTCCACCACACTAATTCATACTTACCTACACATACGGGGGCGAATGTATCATGACGTATACACACACACACACTCATACATACAGTATATACCCATACATACATATACAATGTATACAGATGCACTATGGTAAAACGTCCATATATCCGGTATGTAAGTATTCTGAATATGTATACATAATCCATACACATTTAATATACACATTCAACATTACATAATCACTTCATATATGTATACATAGACAAGTTTACATACACAGAATATGTTTGCATGTTCACTCAATTAAAATATACATATACTTTGGACATGTATAGAAAACAATTAATACATACATACCCTCGGAATAATTATACATAATTTTTCTTATAATACTTAATGCATATATTTCCAACGTACATATATTTATTGTTAATACATACACGCCCTCGTATACATACTCTAGATATACCTAAGTATGATTCCGACATGTATCCATACTATTTATATACACATACATTCTAGATATACAATATTATTCACACACACACAAGAACGAACAGTCTGGTTCAAGATTCTTCGAACACTGCTGGAGACAGCTGGTAACTCAAGGCCGTTTGTTTACTATAGTACGTAGTATAATATAATACCAAACAACAAAGCCCAACCATTAAATTAAGCAACGGGGAACTAAGTAACCAATCACCGATCACTTTTACATATATTCATAATTTTTACTACGTACTAAACAAACAGCCTTGAGTTGCCAGCTGTCTCCAGTAGTGTTCGAAGAATCTTGAACCAGACTGTACAGAAAGAGACGCACCACAGTATAGAGATGTATACACAATGAGCTTTAATACACAATAAAATAATGAAATACAGTAACAAAATACATAAATATACACACTTGTTTAATATAATACAACACACACACACACACACACACACACACACACACACACACACACACACCGCAAAAACATTTTGCAAATTTACACAAATTAAAAAATCATTACAAATTTACATCAATCAGAAAGACCCTTTAAAAAATAATGTACACCATCATAAATAACTTTCAAAATATTTACACCAATCACTAAACTGTTTAATTATTTTTTACACCTGTTAAAAAAAATTATTATACGGGTCAAAATCACCTAAAACAGTTCCTAGAGTTTAAAACACCTTTATATATTAGTTCAGGTTAAAACTGACTTAAAACACAAAATTCACGACAAACTTCATCTTTTCCTCGAGTATTTAATAAAGTAATGACTCAGTCGCCGGAAGTAATTTACATTTACTCAGAAAAATTACAATGGCGGGAGGTGGGCGGGTGGCATTCCCTGGGGGCCAACTTAGTGCCAACACTACGCGTCCCTTGATTTCCCCAGGGTCATATTGTCATCATGTGCCCAGAAGTGCCTACGAGTTATCAGCTCTGCCTAGGAACTGGTAGCTGTGCCTAGTGTCAAGGAGGAGTGTCTAGGGTCAAGGAGGAGTGTCTAGGGTCAAGGAGGAGTGTCTAGGGTCAAGTAGGAGTGCATAGAGTCAATTAGGAGTGCTTAGAGTCGAGTAGGAGCGTCTAGAGCAAAATAGGAGCGTCTAGAGCCAAGTAGGAGCGTCTAGAGCCAAGTAGGAGCGTCTAGAGCCAAGTAGGAGCGTCTAGAGTCGAGCAGAAGTGCCTAGGGTCAAGCAACAGTGCCTAGGAGTGCTGGGGTAATGACTTAATGAGAGGTTTACTAATAATACCTCAACATACATACATTAATACATATACATAGCACAAAAATAATCATTTACAGTACAGACCTGGTAGTGTATATAACCCTCTTATACATATACAAAGATATACACATACAGACATACATATACATGAGCCAACTGGACAGTCTGGACTCTTCATTAATATTTTACACTAGGCCGTAACACCTGCCTCTGATGGGTGACAATACATAAATGGATGAGTAAGTGACTAAAGGTGATGCTGAGGTCCAAGAGTTTAAGGTATTTTATCTACAAGTTAATAATGATAATAATAATAATAATAAATAAAAATAAATAATAATAATAATAATAATAATAATAATAATAATAATAATAATAAATAATATAAATTAATAATAATAATAATAATAATAATAATAATAATAATAATAATAATAGTAATAATAAATAATAAAAATAAATAATAATAATAATAATAATAATAATAATAATAATAAATAATAATAATAATGTTAATAATAAATAATAATATTACTATAAATAAATAATCATAATAGTAATAATAAAAATTAATAATAGTAATAATAATAATAATAATAATAATAATAATAATAATAATTAGTTACTATTGCTAGTAGTAGTACTGTAGTAGTAGGATTGAAACAATTACAAAGAACTAGGAAAATAACTGCTAGCTTTCTAGAACGTGTAGCCGTGACAACACCCACACACCACCCTGACAACACCCACACCCTGACAACACCCACACCCACACAACACCCCCACACCACCCTGACAACACCCACACCCTGACAACACCCACACCCACACAACACCCCCACACCACCCTGACAACACCCACACCCTGACAACACCCACACCCCTGACAACACCTGACAACACACCCCTGACAACACTCACACCCTGACAACACCCACAACACCCACACCCACACAACACCCACACCCTGACAACACCCACACCCTGACAACACCCACACCCTGACAACACCCACACCCTGACAACACCCACACCCTGACAACACCTACACCCTGACAACACCTACACCCTGACAGCACCCACACCCCACACCACCCTGACAACACCCACACCCTGACAACACCCACACCCCTGACAACACCTTACACCCTGACAACACTACTACACCCTGACAACACTCACACCCTCTGACAACACCTACACCCACAACACCCACACCCTGACAACAGCCCCACACCCTGACAACACCTACACCCTGACAACACCCACACCCTGACAACACCCACACCCTGACAACACCTACACCCTGACAACACCTACACCCTGACAGCACCCACACCCTGACAACACCCACACCCTGACAACACCCAAGGAACACATTGCCTGAACAACTCCACTGGTTTATAAGTCAATAAGGGAATCTACATTTAAATGAGATTCACCTAATGTGCTTACGTTTCTAATGTGTGTTTGGCGGCCCATGCTAACACGCTCATCCACCTGTCATCCACTACACTCATCCACTTCGGTCATCCACTTCACTCACCCACTTCGGTTATCCGCTTTAGTCATCCACTTCAGTCATCCACTACGGTCCTCTGCTTCAGTCATCCACTACGGTCATCC